TCACGCTTGAGATTCTCATGCATATTCCGGTACTCACACTCACAACGCCGAAAAATCATTCCAGCTTTAAACTCATAAAAACCACTCAAACGTCAATTGATATCATGCCTATGCATGTTGTGTAAGTTTTCCAACTCCTGATGCACAAATAATAATAATAACAATGAATAACGCCAAAATATAAAGCAATGAATTTTTGAACCTGAAAACTCATCGGTGATTTTTGCGACGTTGAATTTTGCAAGGCAAAACTCATAGGCGCATAAACTCATGCATGAGATTTGAGTTTTTGAGTTTTTCTGAACACTGCGAGGACAAAATCAAAATCAACAAGTATAAACTTGTCGTTTGAGAGTTCAATTTTCACTGGCGTTAGTTCACTCATTTCTTTTTCTACATCCTGTTTTGTAGCCAGATTAACTTCTTTACTCTCTTTAATGAATTCAAGGATGAATGGCCTACAAAATCGAATACTTTGAGGCATGGGATTAAACCACATAATTTCCTTTCGATCATTGTACATGAACAACTGAATTGGTGTTAAAGTGGACGAAAATACATCTGAATCGTCCTGACATCCTTCTGGTAGCACTTGATGATATTGCGAATATCCAGTTGATCCGTCCATACCCCAGCTACATAGACGAACCAGTTCCGTAGAAACTAGATCGTTGCTATCCATATACTCGTTGAGCTCTGCAGCAATTATTTGGACGATTCGTTTCACTGTATTTTCCATCAGCGCCTGGAGTTTCACTCTTATTTTCAATGCACCTTCTTCGATGAATTCACTAGGAGGGGCGCATATTTTTTTCACTGCTCCGATCACATAGTAAGGTGGAAATCTTGAAGGTGATTCACTATGTATTACTTCGTATTGAAATCTACTCAATCCAGCCTCGATAAGTACACTAAAAGCCTCTTCTGGTGACATCATTCCTCGTTGATCAGTTAGTTGAGCCAGCATGGTTTTAGAGCTTTTTTGGTTTTTTTAAAATATGCCCAATAACTTTAACTAAATTAAAATCCTTTCGATTATAAGTCTTGCAAGTAACAAAGCTTTCTCGATGGTATCGAATTTTGGATCAACTGCTTCTTTATCGATGACGCGACGTTTTCCTCTTTCACTCAAATCCATGAAAGGTTTTGAAGGCCGTCTACGTTTTGTTCCCGAGGCCGAGGTTGAGGCAACACATTGCTCCTGTTCGATGAATTCCTCGATGCCAAATTCTCCATCAAGCCAATTCCGAAAATACGACTCAAATCGCTCTTTCGTGCGATTAGCTTCATGCCATTTGTTGATGTATTTAGTAACGATTTTATGGATCTTTTCATCGAGACGTTTACGTTTTTCCACCGAGATGTTATAATTTTCACAAATGAATTCAATGGCTCTGTGAACATTGTTACTATGGCTTAATTTTGCGTCTAATAGATTAATAATGGTTCTATTATCCATGCTCACACTTGGTCTCAACCGTAAATTTGAATTACACTGTAGTAGTTTAAATAAAAGCTACACAAAATACACTATGGCTTCAAATTGACACTACAGTAGGTTAAGTACAGACTTAGGTATAAATTAAACTCATCCGCGCATATGCGTAGGTACATACTTACGCATATGCTTCTATAATCGTCATAACCCAGGTACTTACTTTAGAATAAAGCATAAACGAATGTAGTTTTACGTTCATCCAACAGTGAACTTTATGATAATGATGACTTCTTTTTGTACAAAAGCTTAAACCCTTTTTAAAAGTTGGTCATGAAATATAAGAAAATGTTTTTTAACAATATATTTCGACTATACCAACCGAACATAACTCCAAAAGTTGCAAAATAATTGTTGAAAAAGTTTGTTTCCAAGCCGGCTCTTGTACAATTTGAAATCTCCCATGATAACCGAAAATTTTCAAATTGCTTATATTTTCAAAGGGGCAGGTTGGGGCAGGCAAACTCTTCAGTACTTGTTAGAGTACACTCAAAACTTCATCCAGAGCTGACAATTAGCCTGGGAATGTGCGAGACTCGAAAATTTGTGATCAATAAAGTTAAATTTTCATTAATTTTCAATTATTTTTTCTATGTTTATTTTTAAATTTTTTTGTCTTCATCAAATTTTCAAATGGATTTTATTTTCGGAAAGCTTATTAAATTACCTTTCCAACCCTGTATAATGATGTCGTAGTTATATGATAAATAGTGGATGAAATTTTATTTGAGTGGTAGTGTATTTTTGCGGTAAAATTTGTACTTTTCTTACTCTTTTTTGACTTCGACATCCGATATCTCAGAAACTAAAACTGCTAGAAGCTTGAAACTTTCAGATTCTCTTGTTGAAATGTTTACTATCGACCAAAAATAACGAAATAAGGATTAGTGAAAGTCATTTTTTTGATTTTTGACCGCCTGATATCTGATAGTGCGGAAGTCCCTACCGTTGCACAGTGATTTAAAAGCGCTATAACGTACGTTTTATTAATTACGCGAAAATGGATTATTTTACACATACAATGTATGGTTGTTACTTTGAACCTATTTATTTCATGATTAACCCACCAAGCAGGAAGATATAAAAAAAAAAAACATTTTTTTAAAGTCTAAATGATATCTTTGATAAAGTTTTAGATAATATTTTAGTTACCATTTTTGTAAAAGACGTCAACTCACCATTTTTCACAGTTGTTGAGATATGTATGGTTTTTTAAAAGAGACTTCTAAAAATCAATGTGTTTTTCAAAAACTTTTCTGGTAACAATTTTCCGTTATCGACATGTTTAAAAAACTATATATCATAAAAATTCACCATTTTGTATGTGAAAATAGTTTCTTATCATTTATATTTAATGAGTAATTCATGGTTTTGACCCAAAAATAACACATTTTTCGAAAACCAACATCTCAAATTCGAGCAAAATTGAACAATTAAAAAAAATGAATTCAAGCGCTGCCAATGCATATAAAATCATTAGTTTTGTATAGTTTTTTTTTAATTGAGGTTCATAATAATAGGAGATTATAGAGGTTCATAATAATAGGAGATTATAATGATAATGCTGGTTAATCATTCACGATTAAGCTTAAAATGTGGCAATTTTGAATCTTGTAAAAAAATCAAAATGGTGTATTAAAAAAATTTCAACAAAATAAACGTCAACACTTATAACCGAAATGATGTCTGAGACGAAGTTTTGATGGACAAAATCTTTCATATATATATATTTCAGAAAAATATACTTGATAAAAAGTATGGGATTAAAATATCCAAATTAATTTTTAAAACTTTAATAACAAAACAATACCCTCTCAAATATATTTATTATTAGACTGTTAAAAAAAACATGCGAATTTACGTGAAATTTTCTGGGTAAACACCCTAAAATTGACAAAAACCCTAGAACAACTACTTTTGGTCAAATTTGTGAACTTTTTATAAACTTTTGCACAGAAAACGATGCAAGTCTACAAAATTCTTTTATGTGCAAAATTTTACAAAGAGAGTGAACATATTTAAAAATAATAAAATTAGCGCTCACTAATCTTTGGTAGCTCAGAGTAATGTTCACCTGTCTTGAAACTTGCACATGTTGATCCTTGGACTAGTACCGTTCCGATTCAAATTTCGGACGATTCAAATTTCGGACACTTTCATTTTTAATTAAATATTACATCCAGTTAGAAACAAAGTAATAATGTTAGATTATCGTGGAGGGCACTAGTCAAAAAAAATTAAAATTTACAAGACATGTGGATCATATTCGACCGAGATAATCAACTTTTAAAAGTGTCCGAAATTCGAGTTTAAGTGTCCGAAATTTGAATCGGCACGGTATATCGCCTCCTCGATGGGTTGCAGGCAATGGTCAACGTCTTTGCATGTCTCTGGTTGGACATCATAGTCGACGGTGGTGTTGACGCAGTATTAAAACTGATTCTAGTTGACAGGATGGTAGTTGCGCATGGAATCGGTTCACAGAGGACCCACTTCGGCCATCAACGAATAGTTATCCGTGCTGAGTCCTTGGTAGACGACAGGTTTTGAAATGTTGTTGAACATGTTACTAATTAATGTGAACAGCGCACCAACTCAATTTGGTGGGAGAGACCGGGTTCAAGATGGTGTTTCACCGACTGTTGCCCCAAGCTTGGTGCTTGGCATTCAGGTTGCCAGTGATGATGTAGCCGTCATGTCAGCTGGATGATGTCTCTTCGCAGGTGCTATTGACCCGTCCCTGATATTGACTTGTTTGGGACGATATTTGGAAGGTAGACGTTCAACTCGAGCTTCAGATGGGTTTCGCTTATGAGCCAATGTCAATGTTTCACTCGTTGAGCAACTCAACGAACTCGTTGTTCTTGCTCTTGAGTTAGTAAACGTTCCAGTTAACTATCTTCATAGGCCATATTCAAAGACGAAAAGACCCAGAGTGTAAATCTGGTCGTATCGCGTTTTTCAGCTGCGCTACAACGACACGCAAGCTTGGTGAATACGGGAATCAACTGCTCTGGAACTGTTTATGGATGTAAGAGCGATAATTGAAATCGAACGTCTAACCATACCTGAAGTACGCAAAGTTCCAATATGCTGCCGCTCATGGCAAGTCTGTCACATAGTCCAAATCGGCAAGCTGAGAAAAACGCATTTTAAGTTTACTTTTAACACTGCTTCTTATGCGTTGGGACAACCTGTTCAGCAGTTTTTCAAAATTGTCCAGAACAAAGTTGTTGAGTTCATCCAGTATTATGAAACTATGGGTGATTAGCTACCATTTTAAAACTCAGTTTTGACAAAAACACAAATGGGACCGACTTGCAATGGAAATTGATCAACCAACAGGCAAGATTTCAGAAACCCGTCCACTCAAATTGTACCTGTCTGTGTATTAAAATATTAGGACAACAGTACGGGTAATTGCCCGACACTATATTTCATTAGCATCGCCTATACCAATGTTCAAAATAATCCAAGCCAACACATTTTACTCTTCCTCTTACAGCGGACGACAAAATCAACATCTTCAAACATCTGGACCGCGAATCGTACAAACTGGCCCGGTCGATCATCATCGACATGATCCTGGCAACGGAGATGACCCGCCACTTTGAACATCTGGCCAAATTCGTCAGCGTGTTCGGTACGGACGTCGATGGCAAGGAGACATCGCACGACAACGACGACAATCAGATTCTGATCCGACGGATGCTGATCAAGTGTGCCGACGTGAGCAATCCAACACGGCCGCTCAAGTTTTGCGTCGAGTGGGCCCGCCGAATAGCGGAGGAGTACTTTACCCAGACGGACGAGGAGAAGCATAGGAATCTGCCGATTGTGATGCCCATGTTCGACCGGACGACCTGCAGTATATCCAAGAGCCAGATCGGTTTTATCGAATACATCATTCACGACATGATGGATGCGTGGAATAGTAAACACTCTATTGCTTTACGAAGAAAAATTTGTGGATTGACAAAACTACTTTTGTTTTCAGGTTTTATCGAAATGCCCGAAATTGTTCGATACATGGAGCACAATTACTCTAAGTGGAAACTGTTTGAGGACCAAGGCATCATCACGCTAAGTGACATCAAGCGGATGCAGCTCACACTCAACAGCGAGGCGACCGGTTCGTCTTCGGTGGAGGAACTGTAATAAGATCCCACACATCTCCATTTTGGCCACCCCCACTCCAGTTTTAAGGCACCTTTTTCGAGGAGGAGGAGGAGTAACAAGTACACATACGTACACGTAGATACAAATATACATATTTGGTAGGCAGTTTGGGAAACGGATGCATTCGTTTGTTGTACCACGTACGGTTGCGCGTTCGTCGTTTTAGTCTCATTTTGTATTATAAATAATTGTTGATCAGTGGAAGTTGTTTTATTGTAGAAAAATTAAAAGTTGTCTTATGATGGTACACTAATAGCTATACGAATGTTGCAGATTATTTTGAACGAAATCAGATTCCAGGTTTTTATGTTATAAAATCTATTAGCAGAGCAACAAAATTTTAAATAACTACGATTTTCTTAAATGCTTCTTTCATTGCTCTGAATAACAAAAAACCTTACCTATTAGGAAGAAGACAGGAAAAAAAATAAAGCAACTCACATTCTCAACTAAGAAGCGATCCTCGCTACTGACAATCACGTAGGCGTCCTCTCATGAATGAATGAAATGGGTACTTTCATTTTTTACGTCTTCCTTGGAAATAGAACCGGAAGCAGAAGCCACTCCAATACACATGTTGCCGGATATGTGTAGACGTATTGAAATTCAAATTTATTTCTCCCCCTTGCAAGAGATTATTCCCCTCTTCCGATCACGATTAAAGCACCAAAAAGCTAGCAGAAGAAATTACACGCCAATATGACAAAGAATTTAACTATAATCATATTTTCGGCTCCTTAGTGAATCATGCTCCACACCTCTTTTGCGAATGCTTCAAGTATCATCATCAACATCATCATCATTACCGGTAGCTTTAACAACAGGTGAAGATACATACACGGTAAGAAAAAAGTACCCAACAGCCAGTTCACTTTTACCAACTTTTGACTAGTTTGTCTCCTTTTCTCCTTCTAATGTTGTCAAAAACGGAGGAGCAACACCACCCAACAGGGGTAGTAAAGTGTGGGAACCCAACGTTGAGTATAATCATATTTACCTACTGTTGGGTACAACTAACTTACTTTTGGTAAAAAGCCAGTAGAAAATTCCATATGAACTGCACACAAGTAAATGAAAATTACTTTGACCCGCTTTACCTACTTTTGGATACGTCTATTAACGTCTCTTTAAACTGTTCCCCTACAAGAGGAGAATTTAGTTCATTCGATACGACCTACTTTTGGGTTCCTGCACTATAGTGCCGAGATAAGTGAAACGAACTTAATTTTGGGTACTTTTTTCTAACCGTGTAGAGGAGGTAGAAGAAAAAAGAAAGATTTCCCGGGAAGCAGCCGGAATTCAAATTTGACCTGTTGTGTTGTGTGCAAAATCTGTTGAAAGTTAGAATGGGTGTTTAGGGATTGGTGTGCCTCCCGTAGGGTTTAGCAATTGAAATTGTAGCCAATATAGAATGCCATAATCAGGCATCTGGTTGTAAAGAAGAGCAGAATACACAACAAACTGTGTCCGTTCGAACAGAATTCTGTACTCAGCTGGTTAACTGGAATATTAGTGGTACCGGTATATACCCGAGTAAAGCTGAAGATCAAATTGAAATCAAAATTTGCTATAATGATGTAACTTATTTTGAATATTCCAGTTGATCTCATTTTGGTTGACTTAACCACAGCAAAATGAGAGCAAAATTTTACACTGTTGAACTAACGCAAAACTAATTCTGCTATCAATGAAATCATTTTGATTACAGATTTTGTATTCAAAATATTTAACTAAATACGAGCCTGTCGTAAATGATTAGCATCCATGCTTCTCACGTTAAAAGACTTGAGTTCAAATCTCACCCCGGACTAGTCACGTGTTTATGTGTTCAACAAAACAATCAGACAATAATTGTTAATTCAATTTTCAACAAGACGTTAATAGCAGCACTTGAAGTTAAGTTACTGAAACACCTGAAAGAACAATATGTAATCAGACTTATTTCGCGACAACTAAAATCAAAATGTGTTTTCATTATGATAGGAACAGCAAACTTTAATATCGATTTGCTTTCAATTTGTTAACCGACTTAAGTCGGGTAGCGGGTGAAAGACTTTCCCGGTTCACGTGCTCCTTTAAAAAAAAAAGTGTGAACTTATATATCTCCGGAGCATCTTCATTAGGGTGCAAACAAAAAGTTCACTTTATAACCCCTAGAATGATATATTAGGCCATTAGGAACAATAGCTACATACATGAAACATGAAAAATCTTTAGAGGTTGCACGCTTCAATCTTCTGAAAAAAAAGATATCAAGAACAATTTCCAAATATGTCTCCAAAGGGTCATAAAAATAGAGCATGAGAGTGATTAACCGCCCACGGTTGCTGCTCTGTTATTGTCACATCAGCTGCAGAACCAACAGATGATGTTTGGGAATAACATTCATCCTCAATGTGTAAAAACTGGAGATCTAATATTTAGCAATACCAGCGCCGGCCGTGTCCGAATGCAGGTAAAATAGGGAATGGGAACGAATGTGTTGATGTGATACTCACTGTGAAGGAAACCGAGAAGTCCTCTGCGCTTCCACGAAAAATCACTGGGATGTTGGGTGTGGGTAAAGGTTTGTAGCAGGGATCGTTTTGGTAAACTAATGCAGATAATGACGTACCTTAAACACTTAGGCCTATTCTGCACGGCGAGTGAGGTGCGATGACTCGATGTCACTAGTGCAGTAACAATTGTCACTCGGGTGAGGTGACTCTCCATTTGATTTGCAAGGAGACTCACCTCACCCTAGGTGACAATTGTCACTTCACCATCACTTCACTGTCACTAACTAATGGATGTAAATATGAAGTATAAATAAATAAAAAAAGAAAAGATCTTATCGAAGGAATCAAGTGAATCTGCAACAAGCTGCCTCGTAGTGTTTTCATATACTGTCCTCAAAGCATCCTTCTTCTTGACATAATAGTACCAGCCGTAGATGGTTCACGGGGATCAGCATTAACTGGTCCAGACTCTTTTAGAATTTATTTGAAATACCCCTACTTCACTTCTGATAAAGTTTCGATCGATGATTCACCATTCTTGAAATTCAATTTTAGTGGCGATTCAGAAGAGAAAAAATGGGTCTTGAGCACTGCAGTGTACTGGTTGTTTTTAGCTTGCGTGCTCTCCTTTGAAAACTTGTCCATCTGTCACGGTAGCCAATTTACAGTAGGTCGTTCCACGCGGCCAACAAATGGGAATTCATAGTGGAACCTGAAAGTAGTTCCCTTGATCTTGACCTCCGCAACACCAATTTTAAACTTCGTGCACAATTTTGAACTCAGTTTCACCACACTATTAAAGCACTTTTAGGGAAAACGTTAAGTCAGAGGAGTTTAAAATTTATTTGGGTAAAGAAAGCTGATTTCTGTTGTTTAGAAACATTTGTACGACCAAGTAAACGCAAAATTTTCAACTATAAATAGCATTAATGCTCAAGGAAAAATTTACCAATGTTTGCCCTTTTTGCTTGTAGACTGGTTTTAAGCCATTTAGAGGGGTACATTTTCGAAGGATAAGATCAGGGGAGGAACTTGGGGGTAGGGTTTCGTTGTCTCATTCAGAGCGTTGTCGCCAGTATGAACGGTAGTGCGATTCTTGATTCGTCTGTAGTTCGACAAGCTATGGTCACCAGTGGACGACGATGAGACTCATCAAGACGGGGGACGGGAGACATACAAAATCTTATAAAGAAAGACAAAAGACAAATAAATTTAATTCTTATAGGGTAAAGGACGGCTTCGGCAGTACCTTATTCTATCATCGACAGGGGGTAAACAACGTCCTTGAGAACTTAATTTTGGCATGTGGATACATTGTTCAGAACATCTATTGGCCAAGTTTGAGTGGTTTCGGAATTTATTAACCCCCTTGACAATAAAAGGTTATGATATTGCCGAAACCGACATTTCCCCTACTTGGCATTTTCAGAAGCGCTCAAATCGACTGCATATTGCAGATATCGCGTCGCGACTGCATATAGCACGTCTCTGATATGGATTTTGCATAAAACCGAAGAGGAACTTCGGATCAGAAAGTGGCTCCGCTAATCATTGGAGAACACTAGCGCACCTAGCGATAGAAGACATCTTCTGCCTGCAGTTAAGATAGGCAGCATGCTATGATAGTGTTAGTGCGTATAGAAAGCCCATGTGGAACGCTACCACAATGCATCACTTGTTGAGCAGAAAAACATACCACTTTTTGATTAATTGATTTGTTTGCACTTCCCCTTCTGTTCTGTGGATATAGGGTTGTTTTTCGCTGTTGCCTAGAATTTCTCAAACACGTTTTTCAAAAAATCGTAACTTGAAAACCGGTGATTGTATCGAAAATGAATGTGAAAAGAAGTTCTGCATAAATAGAGATTTGCAAGACAGTGTTTTGGTAAAAAAAACTCTTGTTTAAAATTATGATTATAAAAATTTGCTGAAAATCTCTTTAATAAATTTATGTTGTATAATTTTTTAAACAGTGCACAACTATATAAAGCTAATGAAGGAACCAAGGGGAAAAATTTAATTAAACTAAACTAGGGTTTTCATTCATTTAAATTTTAAATTTTTGAAAAAAAAACAAATAGAAAGCTTGACGTGTATTTTTTTAAAGAGCTAGCTACTACAGGGTGCGTGACAAATTTTTGCAGTAAATTTCAAATAGTAATTTCTCATGCTTGTGCATCATTATTTAGATATATTTGGCAGCACTGGATAGCTTATACTGTTAGGTGTAAGATTTAAACAAACAATGTTGAGTAAACGTAAAGATGTCGAAACAAGAGAGCAATCTGTCAGCCGTTGTCGCTTTGTTGCGCGCCGGAGTATGCATGAAAGAAATAATTCGGTCGATAAATGTGTCTGAAAGAACAGTGTATAATATTAAAAAAAGGCTTGGGAAAGTGATAAGACGGAGCACCTGCTCATACTGCTAATAAAGCACAGAAATGGCTTACGGAAAATATTTCGTAAATTTGGGAGGAAGAAATTTGGCCCCCAAGCAGTCCCGATATCAATCCGTTGGATTATTTTGTATAGGGCGTCGTCCAACGGGATACCAATAGAACCCCTCACACCACACTTAAGTCGCTAAAAGCTAAAATCAAGGCAGTGATGACATCTATGGATCGAAACATTTTAAAACGTGCATACTGCAGTTTCCGGAAGCGTCTAACTACAGTCGTCGAAAGGGAAGGCAATTTTTTTGAATAAATTTACTTACAACTTCCATATGTTGCGAAAGAAAATAAATCGCACAAAATT